TGCTGTTTTCATCATGAATTTTATTTTAAAATATTTCTGTAATTTACATTTAATAATTTATAACATTACAAATAAAATCATTTTATTTTTAGTACAAATGTAATAGTTTATTTTTAACATATATAATTTATTGATAATTTTACATAATAAACATAAAGATATTTTGTTTTATTTGTATACAAATATTTATTTGTTATTGAATTGGCAATAGTTGTAACAGAATTAACCTACGAATAAATAAACAGTAAAACAATTTTAGGTTTCAGTATTATAGAAGTATTTCAGTAACATAATAAAATAATAATAAAATGTTAGTCAGTTATATAATAAAATGCCATAATTATAATAATATTATATAATTATATTAATAATCATAAATAATAATTAGAGGTGTTATACCTGTACAGTAGTAATGGACAGGAGGTGTCCAGTAGGATGACCACTTGAAAACAGAGTAACCATCACTGCTGTACAGTATATCAAAAGCAATTATTAATTATATGCATGCAATTTACATTTATATAATTTTATTTACTGTTCATTTGAACACACAACTAATAATAATAATAATAATATTTTATATACTGCAATCATACAAATAAACATAATACAACTTAACATTAAAGAACAAAATTAAAATCAAATAATTTATTAACAATGTAAAATATTAACTATATTAATGTTAAATTCAATATACAGTACATTCATTGTAATAAAAGTGAAATGTATTATTTATTTGAGTATATTCTCATTTATTAAGAATTGGTTTTAGTGTATTTAAATAGTTATACACAAATTGATTTGATGATAAATGTTGTTTTATTTACAAATCAATATAATTCGGACATAATTTTAGACAAACATTTAATATCGTGATTATAGAAAAAAGACTTAACGAAAATATATACCATTAGAATAACAATATAATATATTTAAACATTTAATAAGATTTTCATTTTCACTCAAACATTACCAAATAAAATATATAAGCAAATCATTAGATAGAGTTGTGTTTTGTGTATATAATTCTTACATTTGTACAACAAAATGTTTTTAGACAATTTCTTTTGTACTTTTGAATGGTTTTGTTAGCGATTTTGTGTTAATAGCTGTTTAAGTGCTAATGAAAACATATAAATCTATTGAAACAAATTAATTTAGTTTAAAACACTTTGTTTCCAACCATAAGGAGTTAGAGCTCTTAAAATAAAGCATTTTCTCTAATTTTACTCTTGATTTTAGTGTTTCATTAGTTGTAATGAAAATAACATAAAAACGCAAAAATTCTAGTTTTGTGTACATTTTTGGTGTTGTGTTTGTGCTGAACATAATATAATGGACCACTTCTTCGCCACTTATGTCTTCACAGCTTTCAGACCACAGAAATGTTGATTGAAAGCTGTGTTTTGGTGGTGGAAGGCGTTCCCGTTCTGGCGGTTCTGAACTCCAATGAATTCCTGTCCACATCAGACCGCCTGTGCATCGGCTTCTCATAACAGGATTTGGGTAGTCGTCGGTCCAGAATTGATCGCAAATCAGAGACCTTTGTGTTATTCAATGGTTATACCAATTATTATAACAATATTCCCACAAAACATATTTTCATGACAAATATTTTTTGAAATGATTTTCATACTAATTAAATTGTATAGAAAGTTTCTATTAGCAACTTAGTAAACAATTTCTTATACAGAATATTATAATAAATTTGATAGATGTCTAATAAACTCATAGTAAATACCAGTAAGTCAACTAATACTGCTTTTATTCAAACATTAAATCTGAAGAATTTAAACCATGTTTCTCATATAGAATCATAAATATTATTCATTTTTATAGAGTAAGTTGATATTAAGTTATATAATATAAATATAGCATAAAATAAATATTAGATTTCATTTTAATATCAGAATATTCTTTCAACAATTTGTATAATAAGTACTAAGAAAATATTTCATAATGCCGACTTTAGTATCTACACTGAAAAGGCTAGTACTGATTTTAAAGTTTTAGCTGCATAAGATTTGATAATGCTGCCTAGGTAACCTTTTTAATAATAAATTATTATATCTCTAGATATTTTTCAGTTGTATTATGAATGTCTTAATAGGTTTTATTATTAGAGCTATTCTATTACATTAACTAAAAACATTAAGCAGTATATAAAAAGTTATATTGAAGATTTTATTCAAAAACAAAAGACATATAAAATACTTTACATAAATCAGATTTGTTTCGTAATAAAAGTCAATACTAAACCTATAAATGGATATGAGATGAGGGATACTATGATACTTACGCTAAAATTGTTGCTCATATAGCAGTAGATGAATGGATTGAGGAATGTGTGAAACTGTGATAATAAGTGAAACGCGAAAAATAGCCCAAAATACAGATAGTAATGGAGTTTAGTCTTAGCGATCCTGAGCTCCTGATTCCACCACAAAATCACATTAAATATCTGAAGCGGTGCCCAACAGATCAGAAATACCGTCACCAGAGTTAACAGCATTTTAATGACCTGTTTTGTGATGATTGTCACCACAGACACAAAAAATGAATGAACAATTTTTAACAATGAATTCTCAATGGGTTGTGAAATAATTTGTGCTAAATATAGCACTCTATCTATTCAAACGACAATTCCTTTCCATTTAATTAAATACCAGAAATAGTTTTTTAAATACAGTATTTTATACAAATCCATTATTAATATTTAGATTTATTCATTTCAACCTACAAACTTTATTAGTTTTATATTAATGAATATATTGACTCAACCACTGTATATAAATATAATTGTCATATAGATATAAATACATTTTATTCTTTAAGGCATTATTATTATTCAAATATTATAACTTTATTTTAAATATTCGTTCATTAATATAAAATAAGTTGAAATAATTTTTTGGATCTAAATATAAAATGCTACTTCTTGAATATTAATTAAACTAATCAGTCAATTGTGCTACTTGACTCTTCTCATAAATAAATGTATCATTGTATACATAGATTAGATGAAACTAAAATTACGTTAACTATTATACCAATAAATCCAAACATTTACTTAATTACCAATATATGGGATATTAATATGATTATAGTTTGTTTGCCGCACTAACATAGATGTTAACCCCAATGATACTGGAAATGGGAACTAATTTATTGGGATATATCTCTAAACTGACCTTAATTTTGATCCTCTGTTGGGCCCGATCTCTGTTAGTGTGGGCCTCTCCGGGCTGTATGTGTCGAAAGGTTTTAATACCAATGGATCCGTAGAGGAATGTGAGGGCGAATAATGGGATTATAAATGTAATGACAAATAATATGCTGGTGTAGATCATGGAGCTTAGTTGGCCCTCCCATTGCTCTTTGCAGTCGTACAGTGTATTACCGGAGTATAGGAAGGGTTCGGTTCGGGCGATGATTAGCAGAGGTGTGGATATGATGAGGGAAAGGGTCCATATGATGAATATGATGTATGTTGTGTGCGATTCACACCACCAACAGTACTTCAGTGGGTATACAATGGCGATGTACCTGATTAT